CGCTGGGGCTGCAGCGCGCAAGGTACTGGGGTTCCCGGGCAGGAATGATTAAAATTGGGGGGCTCTCCTTCTAGGGACCCCTGAGCCGGGTGGGGGATGCGTGGGTGCAAGCCAAGGAGGCCTCGGAACGGGCGGTTGGAAGCACGTCTCTGCCCCACCCTTCACCCTAGAGGGTTGCAGGGGTACGGGGTTTCCCTAAATGCCCGGTTGCCCCGCCTCTCTTGCCAAGAGCAACTTCAGAGTCATGATCCCCGATTTCTTGCTGCTTCGGATTCTCTTCTGCTCCTGGTTGGGGGTGAAACTCAGGGTCCCCATGGAATTGGGGGTGTTGCGTTTGAGCTGCTCCTGGGCTTCTGCGGGAGGCATTCTCCCTCCCCATCTTGACCCTTCTGGCCTCTGAACCCCCAAAATTGAGGTTCTTTGTCACCAGACTCCTGAGGTTGTTCTTTGTCACATGGGATACACCCAAATTGAGCCCTCCCAGATATAGGGGGTCATGAAATGGAGCATCAGCTCCTGAGTTCAAGAGAAGAGAGAACCTCTTTAATTGGACTTTTCTGACACAGTCTCCCTAACTTAGAATTCCTAGAAATCCACCGAGAGGGTCACCTCTCAAAAGCTACCTGGCATCCTTCTCACCTTCTCAGGGGCCGTGTGTGTGTGTGTGTGTGTGTGTGTGTGTGTGTGTGTCTTTGAAAAGTAGGGTCACCCCCTTTGATAACAGGGAAACAACCTGCCCCATTTGCCAAAGTCTAGGGCCTTATATCCTCCTCCACCCCACCCAGGCCCTGTAACCATAGGGGTGAGGACACGAAGCCTTGTAGGGGAAAGATCCACAGGAGGGTGCTGTGCCCCAGTCAGTACAAACCTTATTGGGAGCCCCCTTGCTGCAGTGCCCAGCTGGGCCACCCTGGGCAGAGGGAGGTCTCTGTGTTCAGCTCCCAGCAGGTGCGGATATGCTGGGGCAGTGGGGAGCCCGTGCTCTGGGCTCACTGCCAAGGGTCCTATCTGGTTCTGTTTGCATGGGGACCCCAGAAAGTGTCCCAGGCCCTTGGTTTCCCCTGTCCAATCTGAGGCGTCCAGGAAGCCTCACCCCCTTCCCTCCTCCCTGGCTTCCCAGGTCTGATTGGATCCATCCACACACGCATGTTTTCCACCCCCCCCAACCATCCCCCTCCCCCCAATCTATTTCAGCCTCTGGCTCTGGGCCCACCAGGGAACTCCATCCCATCCCTTCTAGGCCAGCCCCAGCCCAACCCCTCCCAGGGCCCCCCCCCGGGTGGGTGGGGGCCCCTCTCGGCTGAGCTGGGGTGCTCTCCCCTCCCCACCCAAGGCCAGCCCTTTCCTGTGGCGTTGTCCCAGCACCGCACACCACTCACTAACTTGCACCCGGACCCCGGCTGGGCTCCATCCCCTCCTGCACCCCTAGGATGGCACTTGGGCCAAAGGGGGCCTGAGCGATGGTGAGTGGGCTCCCGATTCCCCTCACCCCCTTCCTTTCTTCCAGCTTGGGCTTCCTGCCAGCCCACCCTGATCAGGGATGTTCTTGGGAAGTCCCTGATGCACATACTGCCCCTAAGTCCTAGCTTCTCTGAGAACCCAGGTTAGAGGGTTCCCAGGGAAGACAGGACTTTTGGCGAGGGCACCCCAACTGGATTACCATGACTTCGGGAGTGAGCCCGCTGGAGAGCAGGGAGACTCCTCCTGGCCCACCCCCCGGCTTCCTTCTCAAATCCGAACCTGACCGTGGTCTCTCAGGCCACCTCTGGGCAGTGCCAAGAGAGTCCCTGCCCAGATACAGCCTAAGCCCCCAATGTCCTCTACACTTTTTGCAAGACCCCCAGTACCCAGCTTGGTGTCAGGAGAGAGGCCCAGGAGCAGCCCTGAATGTGAGCCAGGGTCTCCCTGCTTTCTCTGGGCCTTTGCTCATGGGTGGCCAGTTCTTCAGGACAAGAAAGAAGTGGGCTTCTCCCTCTCCTGGTTCCAGGGGGTGGGGGGGCTTCCAGTCCCCATTTTCAGGCCTCACCCTGGGGCCTCCAGGCCCTGGCCCCGCCCCCTGTTCTCTGCTGGAACAGAGGAAGGGTGGCAGGGTTCCAGCTGCACGTCCCAAGCTGGGCAGAGTGCCAGGGGGCTGGACCAAGGCTGGGCAAGGGGCCAGCGGGGGAGGTTGTCCAGCTGGGGAAATCCGGAGACAGTGAGGGTGGTACAAAAGGAAGGTACTGAGGCCGCTGGGCAAAGGAGGGACAGACAGGGCAGGGTTTCCTTGCCTGGGCACACCTGCCAAAGCATGGCATTTAAGAGCACAGGCCCCTGAAGTCAGGGTTCAAATCCCAGCTCACCCCGCTTCCTGGCTGTGTGGCCTTGTGCCAGTGACTGCCTCTCTGAGCTTCAGTTTCATATCCTGGGAAAATATCCGTCAAGCCTCCCCTCCCCCACACCACATCCAGCTGAAGAGCGGGGAGGCAACAGCTTTTCGAGAGCAGGACACCCCACTGGTATGCAATAAACCGCCTTCCACTCAGAGCTCTGGGTGGAAACAGACAGACCTGGATTTTAATTTGGCACTGCCGCTAAAAGCTGTGTGGCCTCAGGCAAGTTCCTTCATCTCCCTGGACCTGCTGCCTTTTCAGGAAAATGGGGGAAACACTAGTTACTATATAGACAGACTGAGACGCCGTGAGCACGGCTGGGCATTGGTGGGGGCATCTAGGATTAGCGGCTGGCTTCACTGGGCTCCTGATGCCACTGTAACAGGGAGGTCACTTTGCCTGCTTCACAGGGTTGTTGAAAGAATTTAATGGGGCCCGCAGCTCCATGAGCACTCAGTACACCAAGGCTATCATTGTTATCACTGTCACTATTATTTGGTGACTTCTTCCCAAAGCGCTTGTGTAAAAGTCACGTAAGTAGCTGCACATACACCACACCACAGAATTACCATTGAAGTCCTCAGTTTCTCCAGTGCCCAAGAGGTTCCCAAACTTCCCATCTCTAAAGCGGACAAAGAGGGAGTTATATAGAGAGCGCTAACCAATTGCCAAGTCCTCTTCTAAGCCCTTGATATATATTAACTCATTTAATCTTGCAAACAGCCCTGTGAGGTAGGCGTTGTTATTCACCTCAGGGAGGCTGTGCAACTTGTCCAAAACCACACAGCTGATTAGTAATAGAATCAAGACTGCAGCCCTGAACCGGAAGAACTAGCCCCCCACTCTGTTTAATGGGAAAGGCCAGAGACCTTGGCGTAGGTGAAGCCAGTGAGAGGCCCACACTTCCTGTCAGAGAACAGGCTGGGAGCTGGAAGGAGGGCCTATGGCAGCCACCAGCTGGCTCCTTCTATGGAGGAAGAAGCCTGCCACAGAGAAGATTACAGAGCCCAGCTGCCCGGGAGATGGGGGCTGGCCCCACCTCCGTTCCTGTTCCCACTCCCTGTTCCCGCTGCCCAGGCCTCCAGCGCAGTGAGGCCCGCCCACCCCCTCCCTCTGGGCAGGATGACAAACAGGGCTGGAACAGAACCAGAACAGGACAGGACAGAATGTCCTCTGGGCAGAGCAGGACTGGAGGCCCCTGCACCCCCCCACCAGCCAGAAGGGAAGGGATGGGGGCGATCGCTGACTCCCTCCACCCAGCCCGAGGAGTCTTGTCCCTCTGCAGCCAGACGGGACAGTCTCCTCCCCACTCCCCATCATGTCTGTGGGTGGGGCTGTTTGGGAGGGAGGTTGATGCCACCCCCAGAAGTGGCCTCTGGTTTCTAGCAAGGGACAGCCTCCCTTCTGAGAGTCCTGCTTCCCTGGGGCGGGTCACAAGGCAGGAATTAGAAGTAAGAAGGCTTTGGAACCTCACTGCCTGAGTTCAGATCCCAGCTCTGCCAGTTACTGGCTTTGCGACTTCTTGAGCAAAGGACTTCACCTTTCAGACCCTCTGTTTCCCCATTGTGGAATGGAGGCTTAAACGGCCTCCATCGTAGAGCTTGCCCAGGATTGAATGAGTACACACAGGCAGAGTACTTAGTACAGTGCTAGACATGTAGATGCTTAGCAAATTATAGCTGCTTATCATTAATGGTTTTTTATCAATGTTATAAACATAGATAAGGTTATATATGCTATATGTAATATACGCTATGATTTTTTTTCAAACACTATAGAGTTCAGATTCACACAGGCCTGGAGTTTGACTTTTCAGACAGTGGTACAAACAGGGAGATGCACCAAAGCCTGGGTATAAACCCAGAGCCAGGGAGACAGAGAAAACAGAAGTGTTCAAACCCTGGCTTCGCTATACGCAAACGCTGCACCGTTCTGTGCCTCAGTTTTCTCCTCTGTTCAATGGGGACAATTACTTTCCTTTTAGTGTTACCTGAGCTCTAAATGGATTAATACATTACACACATGACATAGGAACTGACATAATAGCAAAAGCTGAATAAATGACATCTATTTCTGACAAAAAGATACTCATCCTCCTACCCACAACCTCACTCACAAAATTCAGGCATTTGAAGTGAATTAAAGGGCAGGGTTAAGTGTTTAGCTGTTGACTGGGCAAGAACCTTGGGTGGTTGTTTGCTGTGTCACTCTGGTGGGGCCCCTGTTGGTGGGTCCTTGGACTTTGAGATCTATGCTCCAAGATTCTGAAGACTCAGCTCAGCTGAGAAGGGGGAAGGTCAGGAGAGGGGATTCTGGGAGGCGGTAGGGCAGGGGGTCTGGGAGGCTGCAGGCATCTTCTTAATGCTCCTGCCCTTCCCTGGCTCTGGGCCAGCTTGGCCAGCCCCCTCCCAGCAAGGGGCCTCCCTGTCCCCCCGGCGTCCCAAGCCGGGAAATAATCGGCAGATAAGTCAGGGAGGGGACAGAGCAGCCCTGTGTGAGGCACAGGAGGGCAGCATGGGCTGGCGCAGAGACAGATAAAACCCGAGGCTGGGAGCAACTGCAGAGTGTAGCCCTTCCAGGGCCCAGAGTGCTCGGGGAACTCGCCCGGGCCACACAGCGAGCCCGTGCACCATGTGGCAGCAGCAGCCCACGCGCTTGTTCCGTCCACCTCCTTGCCTTCCCGAAGGGCCGCCAGTGAACGCTGCCCATGCCCGCAGGTCAAGCACAGAGCTCCGCAAGGAGAAATCCCGGGATGCGGCTAGAAGCCGGCGCAGCCAGGAGACCGAGGTGCTCTATCAGCTGGCGCACACGCTGCCCTTCGCGCGCGGAGTCAGCGCCCACCTGGACAAGGCCTCCATCATGCGCCTCACCATCAGCTACCTGCGCATGCACCGCCTCTGCACCGCAGGTGAGCCTCTCTCCTGGGAATTCCCACCTTGGCGAGGTCCCGGCCTTGGAAAGAGACACCCCGGGGAGGCCCCTCCTCTGGGAATTCCTATCCCGACAAGGCCCCGCCCCCTGATGGTTTCCTGCGGAGCCCCAGTCCCTCTGGAATCCACTTCCCTGGTGAGGCCACATCCCGCTAAAATTCTGAGCTGTCGGAGCCCGCCCCTTTAGACGTCCATCATTGTGAGGCCCCGCCCCTTGAAATGCACCCCTGGGAAGCCTCGCCCCCCTTGGAGGCCATCTAACTCCCTAAAGCGCCTCAGCCCTTAGGATTTGGTCTCCCAGGAGACCTACCTTCTCGGCTAGGCCTGGTCCCCTTATAATAAATATCCCTAGGAGGTTTCTCTGCTCAATTTTTAATTACTTGAGAAAGTCCTCCTTCCCCTCCCCAGCTCCCTAGTTCTAGTTCTTGTCCCCTGAAGTAGCCATCCCTTTGAATTCCCACCCACTTAGAATCTCACTCTGTTGGAGGTGCTCGCTCACTCACTCTCTCTCTCTCTTACACGCGCGCGCACACACGCACACCCTCGGAATCCCAGGACCCTTGAAAGGATTGTATTACATGGGAAGTAGAGTTACCTTCTTTCAGGCTCCGTCAAACTTCTGCTCTGAAGAATTTTACTCATCTGGGAGGCCCTGCCCCCTTAGAATTCTGTCACCTGGGAGGTTCTGCACCTTTAGCATTCTACCCATCTGGAAGGTCCTGCCCCAAGAATTTGGAACCCCTGGGAGGCTAGAATTCTGACTCCCCCTAAGCCCTGGCACCTTAGAATTTTGACCACGGGGAATCTCATCCGCTTAAAGTTCTGTCCCCCTAAGAGTTCTAGTCGCTTGAGAGACCGCTGCTGCCTTAGAATTCTGCATTCCTGGGAGGCCATGCTCCTGGAGGATTCCAATCCTTGGTGGCCCTGCCCTCTTCCTTTGTATTCCAAGCCACTGGGATGGGCTTCCCTCCCCTGGGGGTACCTGTAATTTCCTCTGAATGAGGGAAGGCAGAGGGGAGCTAGCCAGTGGGGCCCTCGGCTGACTAGAGGTGCCCCACCCACCCCGTCTGGACGCCAGGGGAGTGGAACCAGATGGGAACAGGGGGTGAACAACTGGACGCCTGCTACCTGAAGGCCCTGGAGGGTTTCGTCATGGTGCTCACCGCCGATGGAGACATGGCTTACTTGTCAGAGAATGTCAGCAAACACCTGGGCCTCAGTCAGGTGAGAAGGGTTGCCCTCTTCGTGCTTAGTCCGTGCAGGTGATGCTGGGATACGGAGGTGACCAGGACCGTCTTAGCCCTGCCTCTACAGGGTTCCCAGTACAGAGAGAGACAGACGCGTCACCAGACAGGAAGACTCAGGATGCTCAGGGCTTGGATGGGGCAGCCAAGGGGGCTGTGCAAGCCAGGGAAGGGGGCACCCAACCTGCGGTAGTAATGGAGGGTTTCCAGGAGGAGAAGACATCCAAGCTGAAACCCGAAGAACCTAGCCAGTCGAAAGGTATGGAGAATAAATGGGAGCAGCAAAGATTAGGAATACAGGTAAATGAGGGAACAGAGTATGCAAAGACCCAGAGGTGGGATAAAACAGAGTGTTTGGGGAAGATAAAGACATTTATCTTGGTTAGGTTCAAAATACAATAGGAGAAGATCAGAAGGGGGAAAAAAAGGCAAAGAGAGGCCAGCAGAGGGGAGAGTAGTAGGGCCAAATTAGAAAGTATATCTTCAGGGCACAGGGGAGCCACGGAAGGATTTTAAGCAGAGGAGAGGTCGTGTGGGAGAGGTAGAATCAGATGTACATTTCAGAGAGATTCCTCTAGGGGCTGTGCAGGGAGGTCCTTAAGAAGGTGGATGCAGGGCCTCAGGGAGAAGGAGAGCAGGAGTAGGGGGCTGCTGAGGGTGGAGACAAACAAGAGACACTTAGGGAGTAGAACTAATTTCACCTAATCCTTCTAGCAAACCCTGTGACAGAGTTACACCATTATTTTTCCTAAATGGTCTCCAAGTTACAGCTGTCCCTTTTCTCTGCCTCGTTACCTCACTCCGGGTGCCCATCTGTCCTTCAGCTTGAGCTCCTGGGCTCAGAGGGGTGAATGTTCCACAGCCCCAAAGCTAGAGAGCGGCAGATGAGGATTCGAATCCAGCAACAAAAGGTGGCGCCAGAGGAGGCAGATCTCACGCTTCCCCTGCTCACCATCACCCCTTGGCCTGTGAGCTCCGTGGGTCCCCTTCCATCCGTGTCCCCTCCTGCGAGCTCCAGGCTCATTGCCTGAACTGAAAAAAGGATTTGGGTCTTTGGTTTGCCAAACAGGTGGGATTTGAATGGGGTCTCACCTCCGGGCCTTTGCACTTGCTGCTCTGTTTCCTGGAACATTCTACTCCACAGAGCCACAAAGCCACCTCACTGGCTTTGTTCAGCAATTTGTTTAAATGTCGTCTCCTCGATGAAACTGTCCCTGCCTGCTGCCCCTAAAACGGCATCCCTTCGTATCGTCACCTTACCCTGCTTTAGTTTTCTTCGTACTTCTTATTATATTATTTTAGAAACCTGTGTTTTGTTCTGTGTATTGGCTGCGTTCCTTCACTAGCCCTGAGTGGCAAGGGCTTTGTCTTTGTGGTCACCGCTGGGTCCATCCCATCTAGACAAGGGCCTGGCAAATAGTATGCCGGAGAAAGGAATGAATGCATATATGGATGCATGAGTGAATGAGTGAATAAGGTGACTGGTGACATAACCCAGGCTCCTGAATTAGGGCTGAGTGTTGAAGCTCGGAAGGAGGAGTTGGGCCAGAGGCCTTGGCAAACTGTGTTCCCTCCAAGACACTCCCTTGCTTCCCTCCCTGGCAGCTTGAGCTCATCGGACACAGCATCTTTGATTTCATCCATCCCTGTGACCAAGAGGAGCTTCAGGATGCCCTGACCCCGCAGCAGAGTGAGTTCCCTGAAGGCCTCTGTCCCCAGATTACAGGAGCTGAGGCTTTGCCCTGCCTTCAGCATGTTCCACCTTCCCCTGGGATATTGGAAGGGGATGTGGCTCCACCCTGAGGGGCCTGAAGGAGCATATCCCACCCCGTAGGAGACCCTCTCTAGGTCCAGGTCTCCATTTTGGGGATGGGGCTGAAGAGACTTGAGTAACCAGGATGCTGCAGGGAACTGGGCCTTAGGCAAAGCTGCCCAGTAATGTGCTGCTCCTCCCGCCCCCTCCATGGCCCTTCGCAGGCCTGTCCAAGAAGAAGCCGGAGGCCCCCACGGAGCGGTGCTTCTCCCTGCGCATGAAGAGCACCCTCACCAGCCGCGGGCGCACCCTCAACCTCAAGGCGGCTACCTGGAAGGTGGGCAGGCCCAGGCCTGGAGGAGTGCCTGCTGGGGCTGGGCCTCGGCCTGGAAATTCTTGCAGTGGGTGGGAGTCCGGGGTCTCCTGTGGGGCTCTCTCGGGGTGGGTCTGGGGGGTCCTTCAGGTATCTCAGAGTTTATGTGCCTGCAGAGTAGGAAGGCTGGGTGTATCCTTTCTTAGTCTGGATCTATGTGGGCCTGGGGGTCCAGCAGTCCTGGGCCTAGAGTCTCCATGGGGTTTATATCTGGGGTCCTCAGACGTCCCTGAGTCTTAGAATCTGGAGATCGCCAAAACCTTAGGTTAGGCCTCTGTGGGATGGGGGCTGGGGGTCTTCAGGACGCTCTGAGCTGGGTCCATGGGTCCTCAGGGACTCCTTCGTCTCTGCTCCCTGTGGGGCCCACAGACACACACCTCCCAGCCCCACGGTTTCCCCAGGCCCTGTGTGTCATGCCTCGCCCCTCCCCCACCAGGTGCTACACTGCTCTGGACACATGAGGGTCTACAAGCCCCCCGCACAGACATCCCCAGCCAGAAGCCCCAGCATAGAGCCCCCCCTGCAATGCCTGGTGCTCATCTGTGAAGCCATCCCCCACCCGGGCAGCCTGGAGCCCCCGCTGGGCCGGGGGGCCTTCCTCAGCCGCCACAGCCTGGACATGAAGTTCACCTACTGCGACGAGAGGTGGGCAGGAGCCCAGCTGCCCATCCGCCTGCCCGCCACGCAGCTCCTCCTCTTTCTTTCTGCCCAAGTTCCCTGAATTTTCCTTCTTTGGGTCTTTTTATCTTTGATTCTCTCTACCTCTCTCTCTTTTAGTCCTTCTCTTTGTTTCTCCCTCCCCGTCCTCTGGCTTTCCTAAAACGAGTCAACTCATGCGAAACAGTACCGTGCCCAACAGACAGTAAGCACTCAACAAAGTGCCGTTATTAATTCTCACTCCATCTTTCTCTTACTCTCTCTTTTCTCTCCCCACCTTCCCTCTGCTCTTCATTTCCTCCCTTCCCCGCTTCGTTTTTCTGCATCTCCCCTCTTTCCCTTGCCCTGGAGTTGTACTTAGGAATGGCGACTCTGGGTTCAGATTGCTTGGGTTTAAATTCTTGGCCAAATGACCTCACCTCCCCGTGCCACACTTTCCTCATCTGCCCTATGGAATCCTAACAGAATCTACTGTGAGCAGTTGCTCTGAGTTACCTGGTACAAAGCACTATAGATATGTATATTTTTAAGATCATCATCATTGTTATTACTTACTATTTCTATTCTTTCTTTCCGATCTTTCTTTTTGTGCTTTTCTTTCTTCCTTTCTCTTCCCGTCTCCTGTTTCTTTCACGTTCTCTCTTTTCCCTTTCTTTTCTTTGCTCGTCCCATTTCCCCCCTCTTTCCCCCCTTGTATTTGTTTCCTGGAGTCGCTGTAACATTACCATGAACACAATGTCTCCAAACAACACAAATTCCTTCGCTCAGAGTTCTGGAGGTGAGAAGTCCGAAACGAGTCTCGTGGAGCTAAAACCGAGGGCTGTGTTCCCACTGGAGGCTCCAGGGAACAATCTGTCTCCTTCCCTTTTTCCAGCTTCTGAAGGTGCCCTGCATCCCTTGGCATGTGGCCCCTTTCTCCACCTTCAAAGCACATCGCTCCAACGTCCCCCTCCACCATCACGTCTCCGGTCCTCACTCTGATCTGCCTCCCTCCTATAAGAACCCCTGTGACTACATTGGGTCCACGCACATAGTTTAGGAATCTCCCCGTCTCAAGACCCTTCACTTAATCACACCTGCAAAGTTCCTTTTGCCACGTAAGCGCACATACTCACAGGTTGAGGAATTAGGACAGGGCATTTTGGGGGGGCCTTATTCAGCCTACCACCCTCCACTTTTTCTCTTTCTTACTCTCTCCCTTTCCATTACAACCCTGTCTCTGTCTTGCTGGCTCGGTCCCTGAGTCCCCATGCTCCTTCCCTCCACCCAGCCTCCACCTCAACCAGTTGAACTGACCAGGCTCCACTGTACCCACCCCCAGGATCGCTGAAGTCGCTGGCTACAGCCCCGATGATCTGATTGGCTGTTCGGCTTACGAGTACATCCATGCACTGGACTCTGATGCAGTCGGCCAGAGCATCCACACCCGTATGTGTTCCAGTTCTGTTTCCCTGGGCCTGAGCCTCCACTACGTGGCCCTAGCCAATTCCAGCTAGCTCCCCACTCCCCGATCCCCACAGAACCACATCTTCCCTGGTGCCTTTACACCTAACCTCTTGCCCCGAGAGCCTTCTCTCCCCAGCTGCCCCTTCTCTGGCCCTGAGCCCTCCCCGTCCCCCTCCTCAGTGCTGAGCAAGGGACAGGCAGTAACAGGGCGGTATCGCTTCCTGGCACGGAGTGGTGGCTACCTGTGGACCCAGACCCAGGCCACAGTGGTGTCAGGGGGCCGGGGCCCCCAGTCTGAGAGTATCATCTGCGTCCACTTCCTGATCAGGTAAGCGGGAGGGGGTGGGTGACGGTGTGCCTGGGTCTAGTCTGCATGTGAGTGGACAGGCGTGTGTATGTGTACATGCAAAAGTGCGGATGTGTATCGGTACCCATGTGTGAGAGTGTGCATGCATACATGTGTATGGAACACGCGCGACTGAACACACACATGGGCCTGTGCATGTCTGTTAACTCCAATTAAAAGGACTACATTCAAGTTAAAATAAGAAATCTAGCAGATTCATGGGGAGTTGTTTTGTTTTTTAAAAATATTGAGGTGTAATTGATGTTCAGAAAATTTATTCTCTTTGCTATGTGGTTCTATGAGTTTGGACAAATGCATGGACTTGTGTAACCATTACCACAGTCAAGCTATAGAATAGTTTCATCAGCCCCAAAATTCTCTCACAGTGAACCCCACCCCGCCCTCAGTCCCTGGCAACCACCGATCTGTTCTGTGAATCTAGAATTTTGCCTCTTCCGCAATGCCATGTCTGTGGAATTCCACAACATGTAGCCTTTTGAGTCTGGCTTCTTAGACTTAGTGTAACGTATTTAAAATGGACATTGCTGTATATATGACTAGTTCCTTTTTAATGCAGAGTAGTATTCTGTGGTTTGACTCTGAATGGGCCCCAGTTTGTTTATCCATTCACCAGTTAGAGGACTTTTGGGCTGTTTCGTCTTTTGGGTGATTACCAAAAAAGCTCCTGCAAACATTCTCATGCAGGACTTTGTGAACCCATATGTTTTCATTTCTCTTCTGTAAACACCTAGGAGTGGAATTAATGGGTCATGTGGTCAGTGTATATTTAACTTCATAAGAAACTCCCCAACTGTTTTTCCAAAGTGGCTGTGCCGTGGTGCGTTCCCACCAGCAGTGTGTGGGAGCTCCCGCCGTATCCTGGACAGCATTTTGTACTGTCTTCTTTTGTCTTGTTTGGTTTTAATTTTGGCCATTTTAATGGAAATGTAATGGTAAACTGTAGCCCCCACTCCACTGTGTATCTTAGAAGTTTTCCACTGTAACAGTATGGGGGCCAAGACAACTAATGATCACATAAAACAGAGAGAATTACAGCTTTTCTCTGAAGACTACCTTCGAGGACATGGCCCCAATTTCCAAAGTTGTAGGAATTTTCCCAGGTCCTTTTAATTAAGGAGAGATTCTACTAGAAAATAGAAGGTGGTAACAGGAATATTCACACCTGTCTTTGTGTTGCACAAGAAAACAAACCGATGGTCTTTGGAATGTCCTCACTTCAATATCTTTTCAAATTAAAATCTTTGAATAACTTACAGACAGTGAAAGAGAGGGGACCTGCCCCATCTCTTCGGGAAGCTGCTTTTATTCATTATGAAGGTTTGCCTTTTTATGGCCAGGCTCTGGGATTTCTTTTCTTTTTTCTTACCCCCGCCTCCCCTAAGCAAAGAGCAGGCCTGGAGATTTCAGTTTTACTGGCAGAAAATGGGTGAGGAATTATAGGAGTTTACTTAGGAACCATGAATTGAGGCGCATATGATATTAATCATCCTTAGTGCTGCATACATGTTGTAAAGTATGTGGCTCTGCGGCTATTAGTGTGTGTTCAGGTGCTTGTTCTTTGTAGAGTCCCTCTCCATCCCCTTGTATATACATTAACTCAAGCCTCATAGCAACCTGGGGAGGAGGTACTATTATTATTCCCTCTTTACAGAGGAAAATGAGGCCCAGAGAGGTTCAGCCACATGCTCAAGGTCACACAGCTCATAAGTGACAAAGCTGGGATTTGAACCCAGGCCACACTGCCTGCAGAGCCCTTGCTCTTAGCTGCTAAGCAGTACTGATTGCCTGGGAAATGCTTGTGGAATGAGTGAATGAGTAAACCCCATGTGCCAGCCTGAGTGTAGGGAGCACGTGCACTTATCTGTCTGTATATATCCATGGGCATATATGAGCGTTGCCATTTGTGCCTGCATGTACCAAGTGTATGAGCATGTGTGCAGTGTATGCCTGTTTTTCAAAGAGTATGGAGTGGCTTTGGTCCAGCCTAAGTTGGGATGTTTCCAGCCCAGAAGTGGTTTAGTAAAGGTAGTAAAGGATCATAGCCTCTCTAACAGCTGGCAGGAGGACCACCCACAGTCTGCCCTGGAGAGTGTTATGCAAATGAGATGCAAATAAGGGCCTGGTCCTCAACCCCAGACCAATTCTCCAAAAGTCAATTTGCTCAGCAAACATTTGGATTGTCTCTGCAGCTAGAGACTGTGGGGAGGGGAGGCACGGGGGACATGGAAGAAGGATGTATTTATAAATCCTTTCCCTTGAATGTCTATGAATAGAATCTTCAGAAATAAAATCTTTTTCATTAAAATATATCCCCATGGATTCTTCATATTTGGTAGCATAGGAACGTTAAATATATATTCTCCATTTTCATTTTATGGATATGTTTATGAGTACGTATCTATAAAGAGGGTATTTCATTTTTATACCTTTTACCCTCCCCCCCTGCCCCTCAGTTCCCCACCCCCCCTCAGCCCCCCCCACCACCCAAGCTATACTAAATGCCAACTCTATTTTCTGCCTTTCCTTCCACAGAAGGAGCTTGGGAAGACATATTTAACTTTCTTTTAAAAGCTATTATAATACAAAGCATTCAAGAAAAATTAAATTCTTAAAAGAAACAAGTAAATGTGGCAAATTATTTTCTGCATGGTGCCCTCCTGCCCCTGGATGGGGTTGCCTCCTATGACAGGAAACCATCTGGGGGGCTGCCTGGATGGGGCCAAGGACCCCCCTGACTCCCACTCCCCTTTCTGCTCTGTACCCAGCCGGGTGGAAGAGACTGGAGTGGTGCTGTCCCTGGAGCAAACAGAGCGACACTCTCGCAGACCCATCCAGCGGGCCAGCCTCTCTCAGAAGAACACCCCTAATCCTGGGGACAGCCTTGGTATGGGGCAGGGCTGGGGCCGGGAGGGGTTGTGTCCCAAGCGCCTTAATGTGGCGCCCTGTGCAACCCACCTCCTGCCTCCTGCCTTTGCTTACCCACTCTGAACCACGCCAGCTTCCTTGGAGCTCTTGGAACGCCCCAGACTCTCTCATGCCTCAGGGCCTTTGCACATGCAGTTTCCTCTACCCAGAATGCGCTCCTCTCTTCTGTCCTCCCTCTTCTCCTGTGTCCCTGAGATGATTGCTTGTCTGTGGCTCTCTGCTCCAAATCCTGCTGTGGCTCCCCATCGCCCCTACCCTTCACTTTGTTCCCTTCTCCCCGCCATTGCTCTTTGGCTTCCAGTAATCTTGACCCTCCCAAACCTGGTTCCTTACTATCTCTTCCTCCCTGCCCCTGCGGCGTCCCCCCAGTCCTGGATGAGCTTCCCTCCCTGTGTGTTCTTCTAGGCCTCACCCCGTCCAGGCTGTCGCTGGCAGTCCATGCTCCTGGGTGTGGTGTGGAGTCCATGGCATCCTTTCCTTTTCTGGCTCAGAACTGGCCAGGGCCATGTCTTGATCTGCAGGGACTTTAGAACCTCCCTGAGGGCCTTGGGCCCGTCTTTTCTCCTAACATCGAAGCCCCCCGCAGCCCCCGAATGGCTGAATGCTGTTCTGTGCAGAATCCAGTTCGGTCATGTGCCCCGGTCCAGCCATGTCGATTTTAAATATTAAACTATTTCCCCGCTGCTGGACAATTGCTGCTGTCTTGAGCCTGCTGTGTGCCCCCCCGCCTCGGGCTGTCCCCTTCCACTGACCTCTCCAGGGACTTGCCGTAACCTGACAACCAGAGGGATGGCACCTGGCCCCGCGGGAGTTCTTTAAGACTCAGCTCCCCGGCACTGTGAATAGTGTCCCCACTGACTGGTTGTTGGAGACGTCGACAGTGCTCCCTGGGGTTGGCGTGGAGGGCTCTGCCCCTCAGCCCCGGGTGACCATCCTGTGTTCTCCCCATCTCAATGTGTCCTGAAGACGCGTCTCGTCCCCGGATCCTGGCTTTCCTACACCCCCCTGCCCTGAGCGAGGCCACCCTGGCCGCAGATCCCCGCCGTTTCTGTAGCCCTGACCTCCGCCGCCTCCTGGCACCTATCCTAGATGGGACTTCAGTAGCCACCACCCCCAGCGCACCCCCAGTCAGTCGGCGCCCCCAGAGCCCCCTGCCGGTAAGCAGTAGCTCACACGTGAGCCCTCGGGATCCAGGCTGCTTTATCCTTTGGCTGGAGCCTTGCTGTTCTTTGGGCTTCAGTTTCTCCATTTGTGTAGCGGGGAGGTTGGGATGAGACGGGGTCTGGGGTTCCTTTAAGATCTAGGTTCCAGACTGTTCAACTATTATCTGGACCAAAACCTGGGATGTTTGGGATTGGCATGGGCGAGCCCCTTCTGGCTTGTGACAAGGCTCCCAGGCTCTCTGAACTTTGATCTCAACAAGTCAAGAACATCTAATGTCTTAAATTACACAAACCTACATACAAATTCTGAATCTGCCACTTAACAGCTGTGTTACCCTGGACAAGTGGGACCTCAGTTTCTTCACCTGTAAAGTTAGGATAATGGCAAATAGCCACCTCATTGGTTATTGTAAGGGTTCAATGAAATTGTTCATGGGAAGACCTTAGTAGGAGCTTGACAGCTACTAGCTATTCAATAGACCATAACACTTACTGTTTTTACGTAAGAGTCCAGACAGTCTAACCTTTGACTCAGGTGTCCATATTACCTGGGCTGACCCTCCTCTGTCCCCCAAATATCTTCTCTCCACCAGAGAACTAGGCTGTGACCTTTGACCTCACTCTTTACCTCTGGGATAGCTGGAGTCTGCATGGTTTTCCCCCAGACTCCAAGACCTTTAACCCCAGAAGGCATGAATGTCTTGGCCTCGGGCTGTGGTCTTCAAACCTTTGATGTTTTTCATATTGATTTATATCCAGGCACTCTTTGAACGGCTACATTTAGAACTCATTTGCATTTGCTATTTGACACCCTGGGTGTCTAGCTGTTTGACATTGACCCTCATTTCTACCCCTGAGCTCAAATGTCTAGACTGTCTTCCTGTTGACATCTCCTAGGCTCAAGATTTCCCTAAGTCTCTACTCTCTCCTCACAGGCTGATCTCCCAGATGAGCTACTTGGGGACGTGGAGAGTGCACACAAAGTCTTGGCCTCTGGGAAAGACCTTGAGGCAGTTGAGACAGATCTAGATATAGCTCAGGTAAGGACTAACATGAGGGCTGACATATGTGGGCTTTAGAGAAAGGGGAGATGGTTAAAAGGATGAGTGGAAGGATGGATGGATGGATGGATGGATGGACCATTTTGTTCAGTAGGTGGGTGATGGTGGATAGACGGATGGGTGACGTTTAGACGGAAGTTTGGGTAGATGGATGGATGGATGCAATGTTTGGATGGGTAGTTAGACCATCGGTTTATTGGATGGATGATAGATGAATAATGTTTGGATGATTGATTGAGTGGGTAGATAAATGACAGTGGCAGGATATATTAATTACTTATTGCTGCATAACAAATTACCCAAAAACTCAGCACCTTAAAACAACTCACATTTATTATGTCACACAGTTTCTGAGAATCAGGAATCTGGGAGCAGCTTAGCTGGATGATTTTTGCTCAGAGCTTCTCATGAGGCTAAAGTCAAGCTCCCAGTCAAGGCTACAATCATCTGGGGCTGTAGAGGGTTCACTTCCAAACTTATGCACATGGTTGTTAGCAGGACTCAATCCCTCACTGGCTTTGGCTGGATAGCTGGGTTCCTCCACACATGGGCCTCTACATAGGCTGCCAAGGTGTCCTCACAACATGGCAGATGTATTTCCCCAAGGCAAGTAATCCAATAGACAGAGTGAGCCCAAGACAGAAGATGCTATCTTTTATACTCTAATCTTAGAAGTGACATACCAACACTTCTAGTCTATTGTATTAGTCATCCAGGCCAACCCTAGATTGGCAACCACATACAGGTGTGAATACCAAAATATGAGGATCATTGGGGCTCCATTACAAAGTCACTTCCTATTACAGTATCAGCTTGAATTGCAGAATCTCCTCACCTACATCCGATCTGGGTGCAGTGAAGTCCTCAAATACAACCCACCTCAATCTGTTGCCCTGTGAACTGAAGAGACAAATTACTCGCCACTCACATACCCAACATACAGTAGTGCCTCTCCCTCTACTGTATGTTGGGTATGTGAGTGGCGGGTAATTTGCGACTGCGATATTTATACCTATCAAAAAACATGAAAGGAAAACACAGGTGTCACTGGCCCACAGCAGTTTTGAAATCCAGTTGGTCAAATACCAAAAGTTCCTTGATCAGAACTCATTTCTACTACTTTCCAGGAGTTTTTCATAACAGTTCTTGGCTCTGCCCTCTTGCCCTCTGGGGTCTTGGCTCCTCACTCTCAGTCATCCTTCCTTTTCATAAAATGTAAGAGTAGCTCTGGGAATAACTGGCTTATTCCTCATAGAACTCTGGTGATCCAAAGGTCTCTTTTCATTTTGTATCATCTCTGTCCCTTTCTACTCATACAATTTTCTTAAAAGTTTTGTGTTGGTCTTATGGGAATCTCTTTGGCATTCACACAATTAAACAAAAGTTACACCCACAAATCTCACTGAGATACATCCTTGTCTACCCTGTGCTTCTGCCGAGATGGCTGAGTGCCCTGAAGTTTAACTGAAACAGTATTGTTTGAGAAGATCTATGAGGCACATCCCTAAAATGTAGAGTCTTTTGTCTGACTGAAGGATAGGGTTAGGCACTACCTTTGATCTTTCTGAAGTCTTAACAAGGAATTTTACAGTCACACCCTAGCTTCCTCTTTAGATCATGCTTTTCTGAGAGTGCCCTTCTTTGCTCAGAAACCATTTCTTAACTTTAGCAGCATTTGCCATCTGGGGAGTTCCCAGAGTCAGCTAAACCCAAGGTGAAAGGCAGAGTCCTCCAGACTACCAAGTCTGCCCAAGTTCAGGGGTCCTTGGGGCCACCCTCACTTCACACTAGCTGGATAAAAATTTGGAGATTCCCAGACTCCCTCAAGTTCAACATTTTCTAGAACTAGTCATAGAACTTAGGAAAGTACAATATTTATGATTACAGTTATATTATAACAAAAGACTATTATAACCAAAGGATGATATGCATAGGGTGGAATCTGCGACTGGGAGGGTCCCAAATGCAAAGCTTCCATGTCCCCAGAGAGGTGTTACCCTCCTGACACTGATGTGTGGCAACTCGTACATGGAATATTGCCACTCCAGGAAGCCCACTCAAGCTTTGGTGTCCAAAGTTTTTACTAAGGTTTCATCATGTAGACATCATTGATTGAGTTATTGCCCATGTAGTTTAACTTGATCAGCATCTCTTCCTCACCCAAGACACACACTTTCCTTGGAGGTCAGGCGATGTCACATGGCCCAAAGCCCCAACCCTCTAATCACATAGTTGATCTTTCCTGCATAGCCAGCCCTCATCCTGAGTCATCCTGTTGGTGTAAACTATCAGGCATGGTCCAAAGGGCCCACCATGAAGAGCAAAGACACCCCTTATCACTCAGGAAATTTCAGTGGTTTAGATGTTCTGTCCCAGGAGCCAGGACAAGGGCTGAACCTCCTTTGGGGTAAAATTAATGCTCCAGTCCACAGGGAGGTTGAGAATTCTCAAGACTTTCAAGTCCCAGCTCCTTCATGTTTAACATTTCTTCCCTTAGCTTCTCTCTCTTCTTGCCCTTGACTCCAAGTAACAAGGTGAAATCAGGCAGCCCCTTTGACAACCTGGCTAGAACTCTCCTTAGCTAGATCACGTGGTTCAGGAGTTGCATTTTCTGCTTTCCACACAACTGCAGATGGCCGTGTGGCTAACCTTTCAGCCACCACACATCAAAAATCCCCTTTCCTCTGTTTTCCATTAACATGACCCTCACTTTCCTTCAAGCCTTCGCTGGCAGGCTTCTGTCAGTTTAGAATCAGGGGTGTCCAACCTGCGGCCCACGGACCACACGCGGCCCAGGATGGCTATGAATGCGGCCCAACACAAAATCGTGAATTTACTTAATACCTTTTTTTTGCTTATCAGCTTTCATTAGTGTTTGTGTATTTAATGTGTGGCCCAAGACAACTCTTCTTCTTCCAGTGTGGCCCAGAGATGCCAAAAGTTTGGACACCCCCTGGTTAGATTTTGACTAATAGTTTGTTCAAGGTGATCTAGGCCTTGCCTACCAGGCTCCTCTGGGCAGTGGGCTTTTGTGGACAGCAGCACTCCACGCTTGATACCACGATCTTATTTGTAATCTAGTTCTGGATTTAAAAAAAAAATCACCTCAAAACTGAGAAGGTTAAAACAGCAATCATGTATTACCTCACATAATTTCTGAGGGTCAGGGATCTGGGAGCCACAGAGATGGACGGCTTTGGCTCAGGATCGCTCCTGAGGTTGCTCTCAAGATGCTGTCCAGGGTTTCAGTCATCTGAAGGCTTGACAGGACTGGGGGACTTGCTTCCAAGGTCACTCACACGGCTGTTGGCAAGAGGTCTGTTTCTTGCCCTGTGGACCTCTCCACAGGGCTGCTCACAACATGACTTTCCCCTGAGCAAGTGATCCGAGAGACAGAGCGCACAAAAAAACCAAAAGCCCTGATGTCTTTATAAGCTAATGTTGGAAGTCACGCTCCATCCTCTCGTCCGTACCCTATCATTGCCAGGGCAGTCCCAGTCACTGTCGTCGAGGACTGCACTAGGGCGTGAGTACCAAGAGGAGAGGATCCTACGGGGCTGTGTTGGTGACTGGTTACCACGGAGTCCTTATACCCATTTTACAGATGAGAAAACTGACGCTCAGAGCTTAGACACACAACTCAGAAGTGGTGGAGCTGGGACGCTAGCCCAGGCCCACGCGAGGCCGAGCCTCACGCTCTCAACTCCTGCCTGCCCTCCGCAGGACGTCGATGCCTTGGATTTGGAGATGCTGGCGCCCTACATCTCCATGGATGATGACTTCCAGCTCAACTCCAGCGAGCACCTGCCCAGGGCCTACCACAGGACTCTGGGGGCTGCCCCCCGGCCCCGCGCGCGGAGCTTCCACGGCCTGTCGCCCCCACCTCCTGAGCCCGCCCTGCTGCCCCGCTGGGGGAGCGACCCCCGGCTGAGCTTCTCCAGCCCTTCCAGAGGGGACCCCTCAGCCCCACCCATGGCTGGGGCTCGGAAGAGGTGAGCCACAGTTGAGGGGGGATGGATGCAAAGGGAGTGTAGAGAGGGTCTCCGAGCGCCTGTCTTGCTCCAGCCTCCTACTCCAGCCTCACCCCTCATCATCCCTCCTACACTGACCTCCGCCCCAGCCGGCCCTCAGTGTCCCCTGCGCACGGCATGTTTGTCCCAACTTCTATGTTTTCTGTCGTTGCCTAGGCTGTGCCCTCCTTTTGGAGTGCCCTTCACTGTTCTCATTGTTTCCCTCAATCCCATCAGTGAACCAGGGCCCGCGCCTTTGGAACATATTTATATCTGGCCCCGTGACTGTTTTTGTCATAGCTGAGAGGACATTGCGACAATGTCAGAGAACCCTCATAGAATTAAGTTTCCTAATATCTTTGAGAATCTGTTGAAAGCTATGGGCTCTCGCCCAAGAAAGTTTACACACACACGGAGACACACATTTTGCATATAATTTCAGAGGGTCCAGGTCCCATTTCCAAAGATGTTAGATTCCTAATACCTCACCTTTTGCTGTCCAACTTGTGGGCATGTGCCCATTTAGTCTCCAGAGCGGTCTCTTTACTCTCCCGATGGGGCGTTTATGCATATATCTCAGTGTTCTCCAGGGCTCCCAGATTGCCCCGGGTATACACGGGTACCCAGTCAAGACTTGTCAAAGGAGGGAGGGAGGAAATTAATGAATACAGTAGGTGGCAGGATGGTAGATCATGGATAGACAGCAAGTAGGTGAGTGAGTGGATGGATAGAAACGTGGATAAATGGAAGGATAGAGGGATGGAGGTTGTAGGGGAGGGTGGATGATGGGCCATTGGACAGGTGAATGGGAAGATGGACTGGCGAATGGATCGGTGGGTGGAGGAGTGGGTGGCACGATGGACGGGTGGGTAGATGAGGAGATAAACAGGTGCTTGGGGACGCGAAGGGATGCTCATCATCTACTCACACTAGTGCCCACCCGCCTGTGTTTGCTACATGCCGAGGTTATTACCTGCTTTCTTCTAGGACCCTGGCCCAGAGCTCAGAGGACGAGGCTGAGGGGGTGGAGCTGCTGGGAGTGAGACCCCCCAAAAGGTCCCCCAGCCGAGAACCCGGAAACTTCCTACTGCCTCCTCTCAGCCTGGTACGTGAAGAGATTTGCGGGGTTCTCTGGCCCTTGGAACCCAGCAGGCTTAAGCCCACTGTTCTATGGATGGGAAAACAGAGGGGACAGGGGCTGGCTGGCGGTCAAATGGAAGGTCAGTAATTCAGCTGAAGCTCGGACCTTTTCTTCTTTTTCTCTATATTATTTTTTATTGCTTATCCTATTACCCTTATCACAATTTTTTTCCCTTTTGCCCCCCTCCACCCAGCCCACCCTTCTTGTCTGCAGCCAATCCCCGCTCTGTTGTCTGTGTCCATGAATCGTTCATACATGTTCTTTCACTAGTCCCTTCCCCTTCCCTCCACCATGCCTCCCCCCCACCCTAGAGCTATCGGTCTGGTCCGTGTTTCCAGGTCTCTGGTTCTATTTTTCTCCTTAGTGTATTTTGTTCGTTAGATTCAAGTTATAAGTCATGTATAGGTCATATTGAAGCTAGGACCTTAATATTCAAGCTCAGGTAATGGGTATGAAAGGGCACTGCATACTTATGTAAGTTGTTAGGAAGCGCTAAGAAGAAAATGTAGCAGAGGAGGGGAGGAAATGACAAGGGTTGGCATCTGTAGGAATCCTTTCTGCTCCTGTGGGCCCCGTTCCAAACCTAGAATGGGTCTTGGCCTTAGATGACTAGTGTGGTGTTCACGGTACAGACCCTAGAGTCAGACTGACTTGGGTTCAAGTCCCAGGTCAGCCACCTAGTAACTGGGACCTTGGGCAGGTGACGTCACCACTCTGAGCCTCAGTTTCCTCATGTGGAAAGCGGGAGAGTCCCACCTCACCGGACTGCCATGAGAAGCATGCGCAACCAGGCCCTCTGCCGATCCTCAGCAGGCTGTAGAGAAGAGGGGTACAAAAACAAACCAAACTAAAGCAGCAGCCCTTGCCCCACGGTCTCCCTGCCTCCGGTCTTGCTCTGGCTGCCAGCTCTGCACAACAGCAACCAGAGCAGCCTTTCTAAAAGCCAGCCTAGGCTGCGTGACTTCCGTAAGGCCTCCGCCCAGGGAACCTCCCGTGGTTCTCTGTTGCCCATGGAAGAGCTCTCTGGCTCCTTACCCAACAGGGCTGTTGGAACGTGATTGGGGTGTGACCGACAATGCCAATAGCTTGTATTTCTGAGCGCCCGCCATGTGCCAGACGCTTACTGCACTCATTCCTCACGTGATTAAAGTATTCAGCCCCCACGACCATGCCTGAGTCGTTGGTATTGCCATCATCATGATGATGATCCACACTTACACATGAGAGTTCAGGCAACTGCGCCACTTAGAGCCTGGGCAGGAAACAGCACATTGAAATGAGGCGTTGAGGAGAATTTAATAAGAGGACCGCAGGTGCAGATGTGGGCAGCAACCAACAAGCGCTGGTGCAGCGCCCCGGGCGGGGCCTGCAGTGTGTGGAGCAGGCACCATCCCCAGCCTGAAGGCGCGGGACAGGGGATAGTCACCAGGTCGTAGACAAAGGAGGGCCCAACCTTGTAAGAGCTGAAACCTTCCGTGGAGGGACATAGCGGCCCCACAACGACCAAGCAGCTAGAAAATCAAAAAGCCCTCCTCTTTCTCTTCCTACCTGCTGGCATCTCCCATTGCACGAACCCAACACCCCGAGCAAGGTGGCACGTAGAGGGAGTCCGCAGGCGCTCAGCCCGCTGGGGCACAGGAGAAGGGGAGAACGAGGCTCTGGGGGACACGTGGGGGAGGACTGGGACAGCGGCTGACCCAAAGCCACCCAGCGGGCCACTGAGCCCCACAGTGCCCTCAACCACTGCACCATCAGCCTCCTCGGATATCGAGCATGATGTGGACGACGGCTTTGTCTCTGCCCTGCAGAGTCTCCTTCTGACAGGAGGACCAGCCCCAGGGAGCCAGCAGGACCCCGGCACCCACCTCCTGCAACTGCATGAGCCCCTGAGTGAGTGGCAACCCGGCTGTGCGGGAGCCCTGGGCCCCCTCCCCTGGGAGGCGCCCGATGGTTGAGAGAGGGGCGGGGAAGCCCTAAAAGTGGCGGGGGTGGGGGGCTGTCAGTGCCCGGAAGTGACCTTGGTGGAAACGTGCAGCCCCTCCCTCCTTTCAGGGGCTCTGCGGGAGGGAGAGGCCCTGAGGGAGGCGTGGAAGCGGAGCCCAGCCCCCAGCCCAGGTGTCCTGAAGCCTGTCTCTGGTTACGCTTGGGGGCCGAGTCCCACCTCGTTTCCCCCACCTCACCCCACCCCGTCAGTTAGGACCTAGCATAATAGTTCTTCGCTTAAGGAGGTGTTAGGGGACCCGGAAGACGTTGCGCAGGAAGAGCTTAGCACAAGGCCTGTTTTATAGTAAATGATCAAGAAATGCCTGCCTTGCCCTGACCAGTGTGGGTCAGTGGGTGGGTGTTGTCCCACAAAGCCGAGGGTCGCCCGTTTGATTCCCAGTCAGGGCACATACCTAGGCTGTGAGTTTGGTGCCCAGTCAGGGGATGCGTGAAAGGCAATCTATCAATGTCTCTCTCTTCCTCTGTCTCCCCTATAAATAAATAAATAAATAAATAAATAAATAAATAAATAAATAAATAAATAAATAAATAAATTTAAAAAAGACACTTCACTGCTTTTCCACGGCCCCTTCGCAGGGTACAAGGCTACCCGCCCTCGTGCCTGCGTTACCCCCACCGTCATCTTCCAGCCCCACTGCCAGTAGCCGTAGCGCCCCCCGAAACCTCCTGGCATCAGCCAGAGGGCCCCTTTTCAAAGCATGAATCTGACCGTGGCCTGCTTCTGCTCAAAATCCTTCCGTGGCTCCCTAGTGCCCTTCAGAGAGAGATCAAGCTCCTCACCTCGGACTCAGGCCTCCGGGGCATGAGTGCTGTCTCATCTCAGACCACACTCTGCCTCACATCCTCTGTTTCAGCCACAGTCACTGTCTTTTGATTCATTCTGCCCTTTATACATGTTACAAATATCTATAGAACACACAGTAAATGCCAGACACAACGGAGACCAGAACACAGAGAAACCCCTGCCCTTGCAGAACTGACATTCTGGAGAGGGAGACAGTTGAGAACAAAGAAACTGGGACAGTAGAGTGTGAGAAAAATGTTACTGGAGAAAATACTGCATAAAAGGGAAAGGAAGTTCTGAGGTGGGGCGATTTTAGTTGCAAGTACGATCAGGCATGGAAGTCTCATTGAGAAGGTGGCCTCTGAGCAAAGGACTGAAGGAGTGAGGGAGTGAGCCATGGCAGTTGATGGGGGAAGAGCATTCCAGGTGGAGGGAACAGCAAATACAAAGGTCCTGGGGTGGGGGGGTGTGCCTGTTTTATTTGGGGAAAACAAGGTCAGTGTGGTTACCTCAGAGAGAGGAGGGGAGAGAAGTAAAGGGCAGATTACATATGGTCTCTGTAGGGCATTGCAATACTTTGAAATCATCTTGCTTGAGGAGGCTGCCTCAGGGCCTTTGCGTATGCTGCTTCAAGTACCTTAAATGCTTTTCATATATAAATATATTTTTAAGATTTATTATTTTTTTAGAGAAAGGGAGGGAGAAAGAGAGGAAGAGGAACATCATTGTGTGGCTGCCTCTTATGGGCCCCGCACTGGGGACACAGCCCACTACCCAGGCATGTGCCCTGACTGGGAATTGAACCAGCGACCCTTCAGTTTACAGGCCAGTGCCCAATCCACGGAGCCACACCAGCCAGGGATAATGATGACTGCATCCTTTAGGTTCTGATCAAATATGACTCCTTCCAGGAAGCCCTCCATAACTTCTTAAGCTCAGGGCTCCTAACACTCATCACAGACCATATTTACATAGGTGTTTGCGTGTTATTAGATTATTGGCTGGCTGCTCCCTGGGGGCTGAGCCCTGAGAGGGCGGGGCAGGGCGGCTGCACTCCGCTGTGGGGGGCGGGGGAGGCCGGCCAGTGGCTGGGCCCAGAGCAGATCCTCAGTATATATTTGTAAATGAAGAGCTAACATTTATCTAACACTCACTCTGCCAGGCTTTGTGCTAAATTTATGCACATGACCACACTGACTCCCCTAACTGAATGCCAGTCCCACAAGGTCACGGCGTTTCATCCTCCCCATTCACTGCCGTGTCCTCAATGCCTGGCACAGAGTAGGTCCTCAACAAGGGAGGTAGATGTAAGTATCTGTTTCCCAGACAGCAACAGCACTAGTTACTGTTCAAAGCGCTTTACGTGGATTCACTCATGTGCTCCTCACAGCAGCCCTAGGAGAGGCACTATTACTAGTCCATTTTACACATGTGGTAACTGAGGCACAGGGAGGTACAGTTCCCTGCCCCAGGTCACACAGCAAGTCAGTCGCAGAGCTTGGATTCAAACTTGGGCAGAGCCAGGCTTCTTTCTTACTGTTCTAAACATCCTGGTCGCCTGAGGTTCAGAAAGCAGAACTTGTCCAAGGTTTCACTGCTGTTCGAATCCAGGTGTGTCTGCCTCATCACCCACTTTTAATTGTCAACAAGGGCAGACGGTTGCGGTGATAATTCCTCACTGGTTTACCTTCTATCTTCCCCCACAGGCCTGGGCCCTTCGCTGCTCTGTCTCTACCCGGAGGAGGACACCACCCAACCCAAGAGCCACTTCCAGCCAGCAAGCGTGGCCCAGGCTGACTGAGCCAGCCCCCTCCCCTCCTGTCGTCTCCCTCCCAGGAAGAACCTCACCGCACTCCAAGCTGGTGGCCTACGCGCAGCACGGGCGAGCCGAGCCGGGAGAGGGCTTCCCTCTCTCCTCTCAGCAGTCCCGTCCGCCTTGGGCCTAGTCAGTCCTCCCCCAGCCCCTCCCCCACCTCGGGGTTCATTGGGGTGGTCTCAGCTCAGTGACCTCTGGAGGGGGTCCCTGGCCCCCTCCTCCTCCTCTCTCAGGACTTGCCTTGGGGTTCTTGATACTGGTTACCTCATCCCTTTCTCCAACTCTCTTGGCTTTATCTTGGGTAATTAGGGGTGGGGGCGGTTGGGGTTCAGATCTGTGTTTCTAGGCTCTGGGGCGTATTGATTGATAACTGTAATCACATTTCTTCCCATCAGTCTTTTATTATCATTTTTAATTTTGTTCTCATGATATGTTTTTAATAGCTATGAATTGCCCGGAGTCCATAAGAATGTGGGACTTCGACCTTCACCTCCCCCCACACTCAGGTGTCAGTGGGGAAGGGAGCCTCTGGGCCAGACCTCCCCCTACCCAGTGACTTCTGATCAACCCCCTTAGCCTCCCAAACCACCGCCCAGCTCTGCTTACCTGCCTTCCCCCTCCACTCTGGGCTTCTGCTGCCCCCGGCCCGGCCACTGAATTTGTTTGTGGATTTCTTATTGTAGGTGTGGCCTTCAACTTGCCCTGCTCCCAGACGATACAACCTCCGACCTTCCCCGGTTCTAGGCCACACAACTTCAGGCTGTCTCTGGTTCTAGACTGCACAAGCTCAGACCTTCCTGGTCCTGGGCTGCACAACTCCCCCGTTTTTGATCCTAGACTGCACAAACCTCCCACATGGTCTAGTGTAGACCTAGCATCCTCCAAATCCCTCTGATTCCACATTTCACAGTCTTCAGCTCTTTCTTGTTCTGAACCTCACAACCTGCAACTCCACTTTCACACTTCATGGTCTCCAAAGTCGTCTGGTTGTGAGCTCCACACAAGCTCCAATTCTCTCTGGCTCTAGAGCCTCTGACCATCAGAATCCTCTGGTTCTAGAACTCACTCCCTGACTTTCTCTGGTTCTAGCCCTCCCCCTGTAAACGCCTTTGTTCTAGATGTCACCGTCTCCAACTCCCGCTGGTTCATCTTACGACTGATCATTTTGTCTGATTCTGGACCCCACAGCCCCAGGCTTCCTACTGGCTCTGGTCTTCCCAATCTGTAACAATTTGTTTCCAAATCTAGACTTCCTAATTTCTAAATGGTAATGATTCTCAACTCATTCCTTCTAACTTTCTGCACTCAAGATTTGCTTTTCCCCACCAAAAATAAGTAAAATGAGTTTTATGCTTTGATCTTATAACCAGTCCCACCAGAACAAGACATCGTGGTCCAGTTGTTTTTTGTTCTAGACCTCATGACCTCTACCCTTTACTGGTTCTAGACCACGCAGCTTCTAGACTTTGCCACTTCCAGGGCCCTCTGACTCTAGGTATGATTATCTCCCTTTTCTCTGGTTCTAGAACTTGGCCTTGCAGGTATCTGACTCCAGACCTCATACTATAATTTCTGTTGGTCCTAGACACAATCTTTACCTAACTCCCCCTCACTGCTGATCTTATGACTCCAAATGACAGTGGGTTTAAAAGTCAGGCTTCAAAGATCTTCTGATTATAGACCTTGCCTTATGAACATATCTGGTTCTAGACCTTACAACTCTCAACTCCTGATTCCTATGGCTTCAAAATCCCTCTAGAACTCAGCATTCAGGCTTCTACTAATTCTAGTCCTTACTCTATAAATTCCCTCTGGTTCTATGCCTCACAGCTGCCAGCTGGCTCTGATTTCAGATCCAAATGCTTCTGGTTCTGGAACAGCCTCCAAATGCTTCTGGTTCTAGAATCTGAACCTCACCCTATAAATGCGTCTGGTTCTCACTCTTACAGCCCCTGACTCCCTGATTCTGGACTACAACTTCCTAACTTTATTCTGGCCTTCCCGCTCTTCTCAACTTACCCCAATTCCTCTTCTCCTTCTTAAATCTTCCCATTCCAGACCCCTGTCCACCAGGTTTCTCTGCTCATGGACTTCATGCTCAAACTCTCCATTGTCAGTCTCATATCCCTAAAAGGTCTCTCCTAGAATCTCCTCCGCTCCCCAACTCAGCCCTCCAGATATGCACTTCCCTTTACCCCCAGGCACCTGGGGAACCTGGGGCACCCTCACCCCCTTTGGGGGGTTCACAATCCAGGAGACTTCCCCAGCCGCACAGGCACACGCACAGCCCTACCCACGTATCAGGAGGTGGGGAGAGAGGCTGAGCCTCCGCCGTTCTCTGCCGCCACCCATGTCCCCAGCCCCTTTTCTACGATGGTGCTATTCTTGGTCTCCCACAGGAAAAGGACTTTTTCTCTTAGTCCAAGTCACCCCCTTTCTGAAAGGCACTTTTCAGTTTTTTGAGGGAATTGCCTGTTCAGGTTGGTGCTATGCAGGGGGAAAGGATCTCATCCCTCCCTCCCTCAGGGGATGAGCTGGGCCCTCATTAAAGAGAACTGTGCTAGGCTGGGGGACAGGGAGGGACTGGACCAGCCATGCTGGCTCTGAAACCCACTAGTCTCCATACCACCATAAAGACCTCGCCTTGATAGGCACCAGAACTCTGTGTGTGGACTCATCTGTGGGGTTGCTTTGGGAGGTGTGGGTGTACTGGGTGGCAGGTGTCCATGTCACTTTGTGATTCTACGTGTATGTATGGGACTCTGTGTCCCTATGTGGGTCTATGTAACATGTATGTCTGGCGATGTATTTCTGTGTATGTCGTCTTTGATATAATTCTATGAACCTGTGGACAGGTTGCAGATCCTTCTACATGTGTATGGTAGTACCTGAGTGAAATGCTTCAGCGCGTGTTTCTAGTTACTTTGGGTTTCTGTGTTCCCGAGCATGGGAGGTGTTGTGGTTTGTGTGGTTTTTATTTTTTGGGATTTTGTGTGTGTCCGTGTGGTGTTGAGATTCTATGCATATGCATAGAACTGTTTGACACTGTAATTCTGTGCTGACGTCTGTGTGACATGATTCTCTGTACTTCTCTGAGTGTTGCATGTCTACAAATTTATGTACAGGTGGCTGTGCCCCTTCTGCCACATCTCTGTGTATCACCCTCATACCCTCTCTCCCGTGATCCATGTAGGGATCTTTTCAAAGGACAAAGACCATTTTCAAGACTTGGCATTTGCCGCTCCTTCTGCCTTAAATGTCTTTCCCCCTTCCTCCTTCTTCTCACTTGTCTATCTCCTACTTGTACTTTAGATGTAGGCTCCGAGACCCCCCCCCCCCGACCATGTCTCCCCTGCTTGCCCCAGCTGGGTGAGATCCTCTCTCAGCCCCTGAGGGTCCCCCTGTCCCCATCACATCTCTAGGTCCTCTATCCCATTCTATTTATAATGGAGTGGATATAAAAAGTACTTACTCTGTGTCAGGCCAAACACTTTACCCACGTGACCTTATCAAACTCTCTAATTCTACACAATAGGCAAGACTATTATCTCCATTTTACAGAGTAAAAACCTGAGGTTCAGAGGGGGTGACCACTTGCCCCAGGTCACAAGGCACAGAAGGGCTGAGCTGGACTTGAATCCCGAATTAAAATCCGTTATGGCACCTGTCCCTTCAATACGTCAAAACAATATAAAGAATCTGTCCCATAAGGTGGGTTCTGGAGCACACAGAGACAGCAGAGTAGGAATTAAAGAGCCCAGGAATTAGGTGGAATAGGTTCAGGTCCTGACTCTGCTACTTCCTTGTTGTATGACCTTGAGCAAGTGCATTGACCTCTGCAAATCTGTGTCCTCATTTGTAAAATGGAGATGACACTAACATCTTCTAGGGTGATGGCTGGCTTTGGTTGGGGGGAGTGGGTGTCAGGCTGCCACAGGAAGAGCCCTTAAGGATTTAGCGCTACAGTTCGGCATGAGCAGCAGTTGAGGGCTTGGAAAGGATGGTCTGGAAGCGCGTACAGTGTGTGGGAGTTGGGGAGGGGAGGCATCTGGACATTTTGCGTGAGGCTTGACTATTCAGGGCCCCTTAGGTCATGAGAAAGAACTTGAATTTTCTCTTAAAGGCACGAGGAGCTATGGAAGGCTGCAGAGTGGGGAGATGAGAAAGGAAGAGGGTGGTGCAACGAGCGTCTGAGCCTTAAGGAGCCTTCAGTTAATTGCTTAGAACCACTGACCCTCGGGGTTGGACATTTATTCTGTTGGTTGGAGAAACCATCCACTTTTCAGAAAGGGATAACAGACCCTAGAGAGAAGATGGGTTCAAGGTCATACACGTAACTGAGAGTAGGGACAGACCTCCCCCCCCACCCCCGGCTGCGCATTGGGCTTGGTGCACCTTGCAGAGCAGCCACACGTCCCGGCGGCAGCACCCACGAGCCCCGGAAGACGGCGAGTAAATCCCACTTTAAGCCCCGAGAACTTTCGGCCTCAGAACGTGACAACTTTGAGAGCGGGAGCCACGCCGAGCTTTTTGTTCCCCCGCGAGCCCCTTTTCACCTTCCCATTGGCTCATTCTAGGAAGAGTGAGACTGCAGGCCTCCTTGGTCACCTTGTCCTCCGCGCGGACTATGGCAAAGGAGCCCTGCGCAGGCGCGCAAAGAGAGCCTTCGGGGCCCGCGCTTTACGACACTTGTGCAGCAGCGGCAGCTGTAACTCGGCACTCCTTCGCGACGATTCGGCCGGGTGCCGCTGGCGGCCGTTGCCAGGGTGGGGGTCGCTTTGCGGCATGGCGATGGCGGAGGGCGAGCGGGCTGAGTGTGCTGAGCCCCCCCAAGACGAACCTCCGGCTGATGGCGCTCTGAAGCGGGCAGAGGACCTCAAGACGCAGGCCAACGACTACTTCAAAGGTGCGTCCGCCCCGGAGGGGGCCAGGGTGGGTGGACAGCTGCCCAGGTCGAGGGGTGCCGGGCCCGCGCGGAACCATGG